TCCCGATCCACAGGTGGCGACCGGTCTCACGACTGAGGTGTAAATCCTAGACTTAGGTGAACTGGCATTCTCTTATCACAGAGAATGCCAGTGACAGTCTTTCGCTTATTCCATACCGCGTTCCAACTTGTTTTTAGACCGATCCATCAGCAGCACGTCACCAGCATAACCCAGCGTCAAAGCTGGCTCATTATTAATCTTCCTTGTAGCATAGTCCAACCATAAAATGAGCAGCAACGGCGAAAGGGCCGATCCTTGGTGTACACCTACGGTAACCGGGAATTGTGGAGTGTCTCCTACAGGCGTCCGGATACAGGTCGTGGAACGGCTGTAGGTCAGCTGAACGGCATTCACCAGCGCTTCTTGCTGATGTGAAAGGCTTCCCAAATTAGTTGGCGAGGCACCCAGTCGTAGGCTTTCTCCAAGTCTAAGAAAGCCAGGTGAAGTGGTTTATTCCACTCTCGGGCCTTTTCCATCATGCGACGAGCAACATGAATAGCGTCAGTGGTACTGTGCTCTGGTCGGAAATCCGCATTGCATCTCTCTGATATCCACTATTTTCCTGAGTCTGGCTTCCAACGCTCGTATATATCTTCAAAGTGTGGCACATCAGACGAATAGGGTGATAGTTGGAGCAGTGGACGATGTCTCCTTTCTTCTTGTATATTGGCACCGTGACACTTTTCATCCAGTCTGTTGGGATTTTTCCTTATACACTTATTGAAGAGCTGCGTGAGATATGAGCGCCCTCCAAAATACTTCCAGACTTCCGCGGGAATATCGTCTGGTCCAGTAGCTTTCCCGTTTCTCATCTTTTTGATGGCCACTTCGACTTCGTCTTCGCTGATTCGAGGGATAGGTCCTTGGGTTAGTGGTTCACTGGGAAGAGTATGTGGGAATTGTGCATCGGAGATATCCTGGAATTCTTTCCAGCGGGATTTGATTTCCCTGAAATCGTGCAGAAGCTCCATCGCGGGCTTTGATGAAGGTCGTCGTGTTGACGAAGTCTTGTGTTGCTCTGGAGCGCCACCTGGCAAGGTGGTAGATCTGCTTTTCACCTTCCTTGGTGTCCAATTTCGCCGACCAGTGAGTCTGCCTTGTTCTAGCGATTGTCTGCCTGGTGATTCTCTTAGCCTCGCAATAATTCGCTCTGGTCTCGTTTGTTGGGTTGAGATGCCATGCTTTGAACGCAATTTTTCTTAGCTTTCACCGCATCTGCTACGTCATCATTCCAGAACCAAGGGGGTCGATCTGGTGCATGTTTGAACTGCTTTTTGAAGCCGATGACTCGCGCGGTATCTCGGACTTCTTTCGTTAGCTTCTTCCAGTCCACCTCATGTCGCTGGTCGTAGCCTGGTGAATCAGCGTCGATAAACGGTCTCTTCTCATCGGTCCTAGGTGCGCAATCCTATTCTATCTGAAAAGCTTTTTGTTAATTCTCGGAGGCTTGAAGGCAGGCGAGTTTGTTGGCAATCTGGTAACGGCGATTACTGGACGGTGCTGACTGTTGATTGTCATCGATGGTATCACCTTGCAGTCTATCACATCGCTCCGTTGGTGTCAAAATGTAGTCGGTCAAAATTTTCCGTACTCCACTGTAGTATGTGACCAGATAAGACTCTCTCTTCTGGAATAGAGAATTAGCGATGATCAGATCCAATGACTTGGCATATTCCAACACTCGCAAACCATCTTCATTTCTTGTGCCGTGGGCGAAGCGTCCTTGGATGTCTTCAAACAGGTCATTGCTCGCGCCGATGTGCCCATTGAAGTCTCCCATGACGTAAAGGTCTTCATTGATTGGACACTTAGATGTTACATCAGCTAACTGCTCCCAAAACGTGTCTTTTGTAGTACTGGGCAAATTTGCTTGCGGGGCATACACGCAGATTATATTGGTTGCTTTCTTGCCGAAAATCATAGTGACCAATGATACGATCCGAAATCCTCTGCACGTCTTTGATCGTGTGATCGAACTTCTGTGACACTGCGATGGCCACACCGTTAACCTTGGGTTGTTGTCCGTTATAATAAATACTATATCCTCTAATCCTCTTCGTCTTAGCGCCAGCCCATTTAGTTTCCTCTATCGGCAGAAGTCGATGTTTCTTACTTTCTATTTCTATTAGTTCGGCAGAGCGGCCGGTCAGGGTGCCGATGTTAATCGTGGCAATCCTGATGGTCTTGTATTTGTCCTTTACGGAGGACTTCCTAGCTTGCATGTCCATTACGGTGGACGTCCTAGTTTGGCCCATTACGGTGGGCAACCTAGCTCCGGGTACTTGAAAAGTAGATTGATCATTATTGTGCAGAGTTTGAACAAAACCTCAGAGTGAAGCTCTGCAACTCTTCTATTCTTACAGGCGGCTGACGACTTTCAGTAAGTACACCGAGTCTTGTCGCAAGACTGCGGTGGGTAGCCCTCGCATCCTTCTTAACATTTTCGGAAACTATGGAATCTGACACTTCGTCAGGACCGAGGTTCCGCTTTGAAGATGGAGTCTCCTTTCGCGAAACGAGTAAGCCGGCGGGAAGTTCTGATAATGGTGGTGTCCTCCCGAAATGCGCTGTCGATGTTGGACAGCTGCGTCGCTTCAGTGCTGCGGGGCAACTGATAGAAGATTATGAATGATGACGCGAAGATGCTTCTGTAAAACTGACGTCCTAATTAAACCTAGGGAAGTGCAGGCGCCTTCACGCGCTTTCACATACCTCTTGCAAGAAAGCTTCATAAGTGTTTCAAGCATAGCATGCTGCGTCGTGTTTTCCATTGCATGCCGGCACGCTGAGCGGTCGGTTTGGCCTCTGCTCTGTTGAGTATCGACTCTGCTCTGTCGGATATCGTCTCCATAGTTTTTCGAGAATCTTCTGGGGATATCTACTGTATACCTACCCGATTATTCCTTTACGCTAGCTGGCAGCGCAGGGCTACTACACCCTTGTTACTATTCCTATCTGCTTGAATTTATTATTGGCGAAATTGTCTTGGGTCGGGATGGATCTGGCATCGATTTGTTGCGATTGCTGGTCAAAACAAGCTAGTTTCTTTGCACGAAACGGACACTGGCAACTCAGGCCGCCTCATCAGGTCTGGAGTTCCTATTTTATTATGTATTATGGACACTCCGTTGGCTACGTGGCGCGTCCGCTTCAGATTCGTGATGGAAAAGGCACCGTCTGGACCTTTCTAGCCTCCAGGTCGACGACCGCTAAGACCTGCAATGGAGTTGATCGCGGACGATCGATCCCTAACACCACACTTGAAGGCAGAGCATCAGATACCTTTTGAGATAAAGAGTGAACTCGACAACGTTTTAGTCAGGAACAAAGCAATTATTGGAGGAAAATAAGCAGGTCAAAGAAAGGAACAGTGAGTTGGAAAAAGTGATAGTTTCATTGAAATCCCGAATTACAACTTTGAAGATTCCTCTTTCCATTGAGTCTTCTTTACAGCTGAATAAAAGTAGGGATAGTTCTTCTGCTGTGGCCTACGACGATGTTGAACGTAAGCGCTCAGTGATTGTTGCTGGTATACAGGAATGTGTTTCTCCTCTTCCATCCGTTAGGGTTTCTTATGATTTGGCTTGTATTCGCCGCATTAACAACTTCCTCTCAATAGATTGCCAGCCGATCTGTGTCTATAGTATGGGCGTTATGTATCTGGTAAACCGCGCCTTCTTAAAAGTAAGTATTTCCGTCCTCGTTTTGTTTTCCTCTTTCACTTCTCAAGAGAGCACCAAAACTTAGATTCTTCTCCGAGCAAGGAATTTTTGTGAGACGTTCTTTGTCACTGGCTGAGCGCCAATTAGAATAGGAACGGTAGCATTGATGCCGATATCGCGAGTGATTCGCATTCTACGCAGTCACCTTCACATTCCATTGATGTGAGTAGTTCGGAAACCCAAGTTATTGCGCCTTCACTCTCTTTTCTTGCTCTTTTCGTGACGGTAGAAACGCAAATAGTTTAAACACGTAAAGGTCCAAGGGGATTCTAACCCAAGCATCTTCTTGCTTTGTTACCAATATCAGATCCATAGTAAAGAATTCGGATGCGCTCGCATTACTTATGAAGCAACATTGTCCCGATATAATTGCAGTAACGGAGACATGGCTTAATCCCACTATCACTGTACAGTCTCTAGTTCACATGGATACCTCTCCTCACCCTGTTGTGCGATGTGACCGCCTACTTAAACGAAGTGTAGGAGTAATTAATTAATTAAGTAATTGATTTTAATTTTCATTTTAATTAAGTAAATCCGATTCCATTGAGATCGAAGTGAGCCGTTCCAGGACATGCCCGGGAATTTCAAATCAGCGATCCCTTTAGAACAGTGCTACAGAAAACCATGTCACTCACGGTCTTGGTCAGTTGAACACCTAGTTGCGACATAGCAGCCGTGCAACTAGGTGTTCTGTATATCAAAACAAGGCGCAGTATGGACAGGTTAACTGACAAATCACAGCATAGAACCTCATATGCGTTTGCTGCAGATTCCGAAAAAATCGTTATAGGAGAAAATACGTTTTTGAATTACAAATTACTTAATTAATTAATTACTTAATTAAAATGAAAATTAAAATCAATTACTTAATTAATTAATTACTCCTACACTTCGTTTAAGTAGGCGGTCACATCGCACAACAGTGTGAGGAGAGGTATCCACGTGAACAAGAGACTGTACAGTGATAGTGGGGTTAAGCCATGTCTCCGTTACTGCAATTATATCGGGACAATGTTGCTTCATAAGTAATGCGAGCGCATCCGAATTCTTTACTATGGATCTGATATTGGTAACAAAGCAAAAGATGCTTGGGTGTAGAATCCCCTTGGACCTTTACATGTTTAAATTATTTGCGTTTCTACCGTCACGAAAAGAGCAAGAAAAGAGAGTGAAGGCGCAATAACTTGGGTTTCCGAACTACTCACATCAATGGAATGTGAAGGTGACTGCGTAGAATGCGAATCACTCGCGATATCGGCATCAATGCTACCGTTCCTATTCTAATTGGCGCTCAGCCAGTGACAAAGAACGTCTCACAAAAATTCCTTGCTCGGAGAAGAATCTAAGTTTTGGTGCTCTCTTGAGAAGTAAAGACGAAAAAAACGAGGACGGAAATACTACTTTAAGAAGGCGCGGTTTACCAGATATATAGCGCCCCATTCTATAAACGCAAATCGGCTGGCAATCTATTGAGAGGAAGTCGTTAATGCGACGAATACAAGCCAAATCATAGGAAACCCTAACGGATGCAATCGGAGAAACACATTCCTGGATACCAGCAACAATCACTGAGCGCTTACGTTCAACATCGTCGTAGGCCACAGCAGAAGAACTATCCCTACTTTTATTCAGCTGTAAAGAAGACTCAATGGAAAGAGGAATCTTCAAAGTTGTAATTCGGGATTTTCAATGAAACTATCTCGTTTTCCAACTCACTGTTCCTTTCTTTGACCTGCTTATTTTCCTCCAGTAATTGTTTGTTCCTGGCTAAAACATCGTCGAGTTCACTCTTCATCTCAAAAGGTATCTGATGCTTGCCTTCAAGTGTGGTGTTAGGGATCGATCGTCCGCGATCAACT